CGGTCCTTGACTGGTTTATTCTTCTCTGAAAGAGAAGGTTTCCTGGCCGACTGCCCCTGTTGGGGCCAGCCGTCCTTTTCCCCTTTGAAACTAGTCATGAATTTCATGAGTTCGTCTCTAGTAACTAGGGCTGCGCCTTCTGCCGCCTAGGGTTGTCCAGACGGGTGTTCAGTTGGCTCACATGGACCAACTTGATCATTGCCCCGTTCTTTTATTTCTAAGGGGCGGGTGTGCCTAGTTCTGAGTGAACCGTCGGCAACTACATAGGTGTCAACGTCAAAGTCGTCACCACTGTCCTGGTCTGAGTAGACCTGGACTTCGGCCGAAGGCCGCGTCTCAGTAGGAGGCGGTACAGACTCATGTGAAGCCATCTTAGAAGTACTCTCCCCACAAACGGCGCCAAATTTTTCGAGGTTTTCTGTGTCCCTCGGGAGAGTTATAATTCCAAGACTGGATTCCGGATGTCTGTACCTACAAAACAACGAAGACTCGAGTTAGGTGGAGTTCCGTCTACGACGATCAAGTTAAAACGTGTTCTGAAGTTAAAAGATGCGGAATGTAAAGTGGGTTCAGGTTTCTCTATGGAGAGAAATGATCATCCGACTATCACAGACAGCCTCAGCATTCGAGTGTTTCACTCTCGTGTGTAATTAATTCTGCAATTAATGCCCTATTTGATTAATTAATCAGATATCCCTTGTTAAATCATTAACGCGTGTGTTTCCTAAGAGGAAACATCTCCCTTTTATAGGGTCTGGAAATACGTGCTCATCCTAGGTTACAGAAAACCTAGGACTGACGGGCTGCCTAGGGATTGGGCCTTGAAGGCCGCCAAGCCCTCACTGAATATCTGTCTGCCACGTGTCGAGCCCTGGTAGGTCCACTTTGGACTCTCCTTAGGGTGACACGTGACGGACTCTGATTGGTCCACGTGGCGGGGTAAAAATACACTAATCAACACCAATAATAAACTGCGCTCATGACTCCTATTATGGTACTCTAATAACGTAAGAAGGTTAAATTGTGAGTAGGCTAACAAAATCACAGCAACATGCTACTAATTTAGAGAAATCCAACAAAAAAAAAAAAAAAAAAAAAAAGCAAAACTCTAATTCAAATAGATAAAATTAAGACCTAGTTTTCGAAATACAAGACAAGCAGTAATACAAAGTACATCAATCAAATTCACAATTACTGAAACAAAAAAATGTGAAAACCCTAGTTTTCGCAATCGAAATCACGTAATATAAATTGAAATTCAAATTAATAAACCAAACTCAACAATGATAATCAAAATCAAATTAACTCTTTCATAATAACCAACAAAAAGGATCCAAGAAACGAATTTCTTAAGGTTAAATAGGAAAAAAATCGCAAAAAACGCTAATTTCGAATTCCAATTAATCGAAATTTAAAAACGCAATAACTAATCAAATCAAAAAGAAAAAAAAAATTCAAATAACTTGTTCAAAATCACAGGCGACGAAGATTGAAGAAAAAATACAAAGAATTTCATAATCGAAGAACAATGGCTAAATTGCACCAGAGAGAATTCGAAGGTAGAGAGGGAAAATGCAGAAGAAGAGAGAGAGAGAAAATGAAGCGGCCCTTGGAAAAACAAGGGAGGTCATTCAACTGCTGAAATTACGAAAATACCCTTAATGAAATTGAAAAAGGCGGGTGAAGCATGAGCCGTTGGATTGAGAGCGATCAACGGTCACGATGAGTTCCTAGTTCCTATTATAGGACTTGGTTCTCACATGATCTTGATTATATATATAATATATATAGGACCAAGTTATAATGAGAAATAGCCGAATAATAGGAACTAGGAACTCATCACAACCGTATAATTATAAAAGAATGGGCGGATCAGATCATTTTACTTTTTAGAGTTTCTTATCACGCGATTTTCTCACACTCTATAGTACATTCTCTCTGCTCTAATCAATCAATATCCTCCATTGAAGCTAGTACTCCAATTTCTCTATTCAAGCAGATGTCGAGCTTTCTCTACTCCATTGAAGCAGCTTCTAAGGTAAGATTTTTTTTTTTCTCTTATTCAAATCAACGAATTACAATTTTACATGTCGATCTATATTTCATCGATAATTTTTTTGTAAGTATCGTCACTTTAGGGTTCTTGATAGTGAAATTCAAACTTTTATTTATAACTTCTGACCGAGATTATGAATGAATATAGTGATTGATCTTGTTGTTAGAATTGAAGGTGTTTGAAATTGAAATTTTACACGAAATCAAGTAATGTTTTCTGAATTTTTCTATAGTTGTGTTGTTTTTTGTTTTTCGGTGATGTTTTTGTTATATATTAATTTTAGTACAAGAGAAGGTTCTTATTTTGTTACTTTGCATGTCAGTTGTTTGATGAAAGTCCTATGAGAAATTTACATACATGCTTGTTGATGGTGGTCAAAAGTAGATATAAACCAAGTAAAAGTAAACCAATTACATTTTAAAGTATTGTTTCATGTTAAAAGTTGCTGCAGGTTTTTATACCATTGATGAATTTATATTGATTTGATTTCATTAGTTTGATAGCAGAATGTAATCGTCAAGTTCCTTCTCTTGTCAAGTGGGTTAGAGTTGTTTGATAGTATCACTAATGTTTCCTTATTAAAATTTCGATACTAATTAAATTCAAGGATTATATGTTAGAAGGAAAAAACTAATAAAGCTAATCCAAGAAACATTAATGTCCTTCCTCTACCTGCTAGACTTTTGTTGCTAAGAGAGAATGTTTAAGCTGATATTCATTTCAGAGGGTTGCCTTACTTATCATTCATTATAATTAATTAAATGAAACAATTTGAGGCTTGCTACTTGAATAAACATGAATTTTTGTGATACTTTCAACCTATATGGGGGGGGGGGGGTTAATAAAGTTATCTTATGTTGCCTACATGTGCTCGAATTGCATGATTTGGGTCTGGTATATTTGCCCTTTAGTTACCTTAATGACTTTTGCAATGCTCACTAAATTAGGATAACTTGTGTGACTAATGTACTGATATTTCTACACTTAAGTTTGTAAATTTTCTTGGTTCAGAACATGTGGACAGTAGCAAGAATGAAGTAACAGAAAAAACTCATAAGTAAACCAAAATACCTTAAAAGTAAACCACAATAAATAAATAAAAAAGTATTACATCAAGTGATTACTATTTTTTTTTTTTACTGGATTTTTTCACCACAAGTTGTGCTTAAACCTATTAGCTCAAAAGGTAGAGCACTATGCGGATGCATAGAGATGTAGGTTCAATTCCTATGTAGGTTATCTCTTAAAATAAATATAAATATATAAAAATACCTCAAAAGTAAATCAAAATAACTAAAAAGAAAATCAAATTAACATTAATGTATATAATTAAATTAACTCTAATATATAAAAACACACTAAAATATATGAAAATTTCTCAAAAGTAAATCAAATTAGCTTACAAAAATCAAAGTTCAAAAGCATTATATAGCAACAGTATGTATCGGCTATTCCAAAATACCATTACACAGTATTTCATAGTAAGAAAGAGTAAGAATAACTTGTTACACATGACCTTTTACATCGTACTTTGAAGTCATTCTCTAATATATCTCAAAAGTAAATACTAAATACTAAAAAGTAAATCGAAATATTTTAAAAGTAAATAAAAAAAATCTCAATAGTAGGATCAATAAAAAATAAATTTATCTAATATAGAAACCTACATGGGATTCGACCCCACATTTTTTGTGCATTTGCACAATGCTCTACCAATTGAGCTAGTAAGATAGTGTACATTAAAAATTTGAAGTAAAGAAAAATAGCTTAAAAGTACATAAAAAATTCTCAAATGTAAAAAAAAAACAAAAAAAAAATAAATAAATAAATATTTAAATAAATAAATAAACTTTAAAGTATCCAACCAACACCAATATCTACAAGATACAAGCATTGTAGGTTGAATTGAGCACCAAAATATTGTGCCCTCAAGTGCTTCTTGATTGTGAATATGAGATGGGAAAATAAGTTCCTCCCTTGACAGTGGGATCTTTAACTACAATACATACAAAGTTCCCATGAACTAGTCCAATTCCTATGAATATTCCTCCCTTAACAGTGGGATCATTATTAGCTATAATCATAAAAACATCATGGCTACACAGCCTGGCTTTGCAGGTACAGAACGTTATGTAAGTGTAATACTTTAAACTCCCTCTAGTTGTTTCTTTACCCTCTCTTCCTAAAACACAAAAACAAACAAGGTAATGAGAAGGGTACTATGGCAGCAACTCACATAGCCTGCCACAGCTTCCAACTTTTCATTGTCCTTCACTTGAGAAGACACAACAATAGCTCTTAAAATGGCTAGTGTGGTCAGTGCTACAACCTATGATCAAAGTAAGACAACATAATTGATAATTGCAATGATTTGCACTCAGCAAGGAAAACAAACAAGATGAAGCAACATTTCCAAGTACACTCACAGCTCCACCAAGAGAATGCCCACACAAGATGAGTTTGCGCTTCTTCTTCTGAGCAAGCCTGTACAATCAAGGCCATTCATGTGCTGACACTACACACTAGTACACTATACACAGCACACCCAACACAACTTGCCCAAACAGCCACAGAGTTCACACACCTCGACTAGAATGCCCAGCAAAACACACACACACACACACACACACAAACACACAAAAATACAACCAATTACCAACAAAAACAGCTTAACGCACAACAACTCAACTGCTCCCTAACCACCAAGAGCCACAACACTCAACAACAACTAGCGAACACCACAACCCCGCTCCCTGACTACAAAGACCAACACCATTCACATAACGCCCAAGGCCACAACAAAAATCTGCAGTGCCCTTGCTACTACTAGCAAACAACAACTCTCTAGAGGGCGGCCATAAACATCAACACCACACAACAAAATGCAAAATTTAATCATTATCAACTCAAAAAGGAAATAATATAAGCACAAAAGTAAATATTATAAGCATAAAAGTAAATGACATAATTGAATTGGGCTCATAAAATTGAGTTCTAAATTAGTAATTGAACACTTAAATTACATATCACATTTCACATAAAATACCTAAATAAATAAAATTCCTCCAAGAATTCCAAAATTAACCAAACGTTTAATACAAAAAACAAAGATTACTAGAAGCTTCAAAAGCAGTAGCACCATTGAGTTCAGCATAATTGACCTCCACCATTTCACGAATTGTCAATGAATGTCCAGATGCAAGCCTATCACTACAAAACAACCATTTAATCAATTAAACAAAATTCACTCCAAAATTGCAATCACAATAACAATAAAACATCAAATACAATAATTCCAATCGAATTCCTAGCATACACAAAAAAAAAAAACAAAATATATATATATATATATATATATATATATATATATATATATATATATATATATATATATATATAGAACATAAAATTACCAACACAACAATAAAAAATCAGTTATCTAAATGAGAAACGCAAAAACAAAAATTAATTAAAGAATGATAGCGAAAACCCTAATTTCAAACTTCAAATAATAAGCAAATCTTAAAAACGCACAACTAATCAAATCAAAAAGAAAAAATCAATAACTTACTTGTTCAGATTTAATAGAAGACGAAGATCCAAGAACAAATTAAGGGAATTTGATTTGCGAAGAACAATGAAAAAATTTGCATCAGAGAGTTTAAAGGAAGAGAGAGAGAGCATGAAAAAGAGGCATGAAGAAGAGAGAGAAAGCAAAAAAGAACGGTAGATATGTCTGGGTATAATACAATAATTTACCAAAATGCCATTACTAAGTTAAAAACGCGGACGGCATCTCAGTTGTTGGATCGAATGAATCAAAGGCTCAAATTAGTTCCTAGTTCTCATTATTCACCTTGGTTCTCACATGATCTCAATTATATATATATATAGTGTCTGAGGAGAATAGGTATTTATGTGAGAACACTATTATATCTGAGGACTAATAAAAACCATTAGATCTTACAAGATCTAACTATTGAGATTGATCATATAATAATGGCAAAAATGTAAGTTATAACCTAACAAATCTTCCTAAAAAAAATCAACATCACTGGTTCTTTCTCTCTCCAGAAAAAAGTTACCCACCTTCTTTCTCTCTCCAAAGCTTGAAGGTGGACGGCAATGGGTTGAAGCTTGAAGGATCGCTACTTTCTTCCTCCTCTTGTTCACTCATACATACTTTTGGTTAGTAAATTTTGAATTTTACACTCATAATATTGGTTTTTCGTCATTATTTTCGGATTGAGGGATCTCAATTTAGTATTTTCGTCAAAATTTTCGAATTTAACGTTCTATCTTTCAAATTTTAGTGTTCTAAAAATTTTCGAATTTGAGTGCTCTTAATTTTTGTTATTTGAGTTTGATATTCTAATTTTCGCTAGATTTTTTGAATTGAGTGCTCTCAATTTATTATTTTCGTGAAAATTTTCATATTGGATATTAATTTCTGTTAATTTAAGATAATTTTTACTGAATTTTTTTCATATTGAATGTTCTTATTTTGTAATTTTTTGTCAAATTTTTCAAACTAATTTGATAATTTCAATCGAAGATATGTAAAATGAGCAAACAAAAAAAAATGAGCAAACCTAAATATGCAAAGTAATATAGTAAAAATAAAATAAGCAAACAAAATTAAAATGAGCAAAACATAAATAAGCATCATGAAATTTCCTAGTGAATATTCTTATTTTGTAATTTTTGTAAAATCATTCAAACTTAATGTTACAAACTTAATAATTTCAACCGAAAATATGTAAAATGAGCAAATTGAATGAAAATGAGAAAAACCTTAATATGAAAAATAATATAGTAAAAATAAAATGAGCCGAGAAAAAAACAACCCCAAACCGAAAAAAAAGTAAATAAATAAATAAAAATAATAATAAAAATAAAAACAAAAAAAAACAAAAAAAAAAAACCATTGAACATCATATTGTATAAAATGAAATAATCGAATAACACCAAAGAATTTGATGAAGAAATTGATAAACTTACAACAATTTGTTTATTAATTTTGCCAATTTGATAAAAAAAAAAATAAATAAATAAATAATTAAAAAAATAAGGTGTTTTACCTGCTCATATTAAAATGGGGGGAGCGAGAAAGTGTGAGATAGCTAAGAGAATCTTAGATAGATGAATTAATTAGTACTACGGGAAGAAGAAGAATTAGCAACAATTCTTTGCTCATTTATCAAATGAACAAACAATTCTTTACTCATTTGTTAAATGAGCAAACAATTCTTTGTTCATTTATCAAATGAGCAAACAATTCTTTGCTCATGTATCAAATGAACTATATTCTTTGCTTATTTATCAAATGAACAAACAGTGTTTTGCTCATTTATCAAGTTTCAAATAATTATTTGCTACTTTATCAAATGAACAAACAATTTTTTGTTCATTTATCAAATGAGCAAATAATTTTTTGCTCATTTATCAAATGAGCAATAATTCCTTACTAAATAAGTCTTTGCTCATTTATCAAATGAGCACCAATTCTTTGCTCATTTATCAAATGAGCAAATAATTTTTTACTCATTTATCAAATGATCAAATAATTCTTTGTTAATTTATCAAATGAACAAACAATTATTTTCTCATTTATCTAATGAGCAACCATTCTTTGTTCATTTATCAATTGAGCAACATAGGGTAAAAAAATTTGAACATGAAAAATGATTTAAAACATATATTTGGAGCTTACACAGAACATATTCAATAAATTTTAGAACATATGCAAAAAAATATTTATAACATATGATAAAACCTATTAGCTCAATTGGTAGACCACTATGCAAATGCATAGAGGATGTAGGTTCAATTCCTACATAGGTTATCTCTATAAATAACTACAAAAAAATAAACTAAAAAATAAAGAAAATCAAATTAGCACTAAATTTTATGTGCAAAAAAGGGCCTTGAAATGATTAATAACTATAGAAACTTTGTTACAACTAAACTCTGATACAAACGCTTGTCTCCACATTATACAAATGAACCTACGTGAGATTTGAACCCATATCTTTTGTGCATTAGCACAATGCTCTACATGTTGAGCTAGTAAGTTAATGTAAATAAAACATTCTATGAAATGAGCAAAAATATTTTTCTCACCTATGAAATGAGCAAACGTATTTTGCTCATCTATGAAATGAGCAACATTGTTTTGCTCTTTTGCGTCAATTGGCTAATAAGAGCAGTATTATTTACTCATTTTAAGAAAAGATTAATCATAAAAATGAAATTTACATATTGAACAAACACGAAAACTAGGTCGTTGAATAGATATGGAGGTACAAGCCATTTAGATTGACCAGTACCAGTTTAATATCGAAGATATAAACTAGTAAAATTTTGATTCCAGTACAACTTTGATTCCATTTTACTATGGTGCTTAGCATTCATACATTTTGCGGCGCATAATTAACAAATAATACCTTAGAAAACCCTAATTATATATTATAAAGGAGATTTTAGTTCAAGTATTGCAAGTCCTCTCTACTCATCTGTGAAATGAGCAAAAAACTTTGCTCATCTATGAAATGAGCAAAAATATTTTGCTCATCTATGAAATGAGCAACATTGTTTTGCTCTTTTGCGTCAATTGGCTAATAAGAATAATATTATTTACTCATTTTAGGAAAAGGGTAATCATAAGTAAAAAAAAAATGATTCGAACTATAACATCCTATTTTATTCATCCAATTGAGTACAATTTTAAATGTTTTAAGCTAGAAGCCTATGTAGGATTTGAACCTACACCTTCTATGCGTTGTAGGAACATAGTGCTCGATCAATTGAGCTAATAGGCTAAAAATTTACCAACAACACACCAATGTAGGAACTAGAAAATGCTTGGCAGTAAAGGTAAAAGTGAATAGAATATTATTTATAGTGGATGTCTTGACAATCTATGAAGGTATGGAATATGGCAGATCAAGAAGGAATGCATTTGATTGAGCAATAGCAAGAGGTGATAGAGGTTAATTCTGCATCGAAATCATTGAGGTCTAACCGTAAATATCATTCACTTGATCATTCATTACGTGTTATTACACTAAGGTAAAGTCATTAGAAAATCTATCTCATATCTAGCAACATGTCTAATAGCTTATAATTTATTTTTGGAGCGTTGCCTAAGAAAATGCATGCATGAGATTGGAGGGTAGTGGAAGTAATTGTGATTATGAAGATATGGTTTTCGGGTACTTGTAATTTTTCATTTTGATAGATAATTGTAATTTGTAATATGATTATATTGATCTAGGTAAAATGTAGTGTATGGCCTTTAAAAATGTCAACGCCTTGTAAGTCATGTAGTAATGATAGTTTTCTTTCACTTATTCCATGACAAAATCAAAGTATGACTTCCTAGAATCTTAAGATTACAAAATGTGAGAAGGCTTGACGTTATAATTGATAGTACTTATCAAGAAATATCAAATATATCATATGAGAGTAGAATGCAAGAAATAATAAAAGCTAAATCTAAAGACCAATTGAAGTTCATCAGACAATTGGTGTACACGTCAACAAAACATGAGGTGAAACACAAATTAAAGACAATGTCAAGGCTTATAATTTGTTATTTGAGTATAGTATAAAGAGAATGTGACATACCTTGCTACACATTAGGAAGTCCAACAAATACGAGGAAGCCAAAGTCCAATAATCACTTAAGAATTTCAAACGCTCATAATGTCAGCTGAATCTAGATTAATGTCCAAAGCTACAATATGCAATTCAGATCAAGAATAGCAACCTATGCAAATTATGATTACCCCTCAGACTAAATGATATGTATTTAGTTAATTAGAACTCAAACATATGTAACATCATATTAAAGACTTTTATCAAACACTTGGTGTGCACATTACATTCCCTTAATTAGAACTCAATTTTTACTACCTTAAAACACAAAGCATTTACACTGCATTATTTAACAAGTAACTAGCAAACATCAAAACATTATATGTCCAAAAAATAAACAAAATTACATGAAATAATTGAGCAAAAACGAACTTACATGTCCACAAACAAGCAAAATCAGAAAATTTTCATCAAAATTATCGACACAAACACAAAATTCATAAAATTTGATGATAAAATTGAAAAAATTGAACACAAAGTGATAAACTAAGCCGAAAAAATCGAACACAAATTGAACAAATTAAGCCAAAAAAAATCGACCGCAAATTGAAAAACAGATTTTTCACCAAATACCACTGAGTTATTGCAAAATTCACCATATACCACACAAAATTTTCTAATTCACCATATAGCACTGAGTTTATGTACATTAACACAGAATACCATTTTTTCTAATTGTCGTTAACGTCGTTAGTAATTAAGGTTAATTGTGCCACGTGGCAGCTTGTAATTGGTTCTTATTAATATTATTTAATTACTTAAATAAAAAAATAAAAAAAAAAAATAGCCACCTTCTCTCTCTCCTCTGACCAAACACCCAGACCACCACCAACGCCCAAACCCAACTACCCAAAGGCGTGGCAGCCCAGCCACCACCCTGTCTCGATAACCCCCGCCGGCGCGGAATTGGACTTGAACCCCGGTGCCGGTGCCAAAACCATCCAGAACCCCTGCGCCGACGTGGAATCCGACCAGAACCTTGAACCACCGTTCCCGAACCCCTGCGCTCCTCCCCTTCCCTTGAACCACCGTTCCCAAACCCAAAAAACCCATATCTCCCTCGAAAAACCCTCCCCTAATCACCGGC